TTTAGTTTCGGGGCTTGAATTTTTGTATTTGTTTCAAACCCTTTCTAATATTTCGCCACTTGTTTGCAGATAGCTTCACACCAAAAGAAAATATTTGAATGTTAAGTTGATGCCGCGGGACTTTTGAAGCAGCCTGTCACTCACTCCAGTACAGATGCATGCATGTTAAGTGGTCTCAAAATTCAATAAACCTTAAAAACTGTTTCCTTGTTATTGCTTCAAGCCAATTCACCATGAAAATGCAAACCTCTATGAAAATCTGAAGGGGCGTCGGTTTAGTGACGGAGATTTTTTGTGAAAATTTAATAACACTTACTTTAGTAATCTAGCAGATTTTTAGCTTCAAAATTACTGGGCAAGAAATTTTTTATTCTCTCATGGAGACGCAAGTGTTTTAATTATACTCCATGCTGACCTTGAGGTCTTATAACCACCAGAATTTAATTGCAAGTCCCGAAATCTCCCAGAGTGTCCAGCAGGATTTTGGCACTTGTCCCCTGTCCATGTGTATTATGATGAATGAGAAATAAAGGTCATTAATAATGTAGGGAACTGTTCTTTGACAGTTGACCAAACTGTTACAATCATAGGGGGGCAGTGAGGGCATTCACGGTAGTCCATCATCTGAATACAAAAATCCATCTTAATATAACAAGATTATTTTTATACTAATGAAGATTTATGTAAATATCACTAGATATAACTGTGCTGATATTATTGTGCTGTTTTTTGTTGTTGTTTTTTTTTTGTTGGTGGGGGGGGGGTAAGTTTTTACTTATATTTGTTATAAAGTTTAAGCAGTTGCCATTTATCTTAGTTACTGATGGTTGGGTGAATTTATAGATTATTTAAGGAAAGGTCTTAACTGCTCATCTATCTTTTTTGAATTAAACATTTATAAAGCATGTTTTTATAATGCAAATGATGAATATTTAAAATACATGCATTTATCGTAAAAAATGTTTAATAAAGATGTTTGGGTGAATTGATGTCAACATTTCATTCCTTTCAAACTAAATGTAAAGGGCATTCATAGGAAACATTTGCTTTTACTTGGGTTAGGGGTGTGGTTCAGGGAGGGGGAAGATGGAAGCAAATTAATTTGCCCTTGCCTGTCTGTCTACTCTGTATTTCCCATATATTGACAAAACAGTGGACTGTGAGGGCATCCATGCACTGCAGTTAGATTTCTAGTTAAATCCTTTTGTTCCATATTTTTGTATATTTAAGTTTTAATCATGATAAGTTATAAGGTAATGTAGGCAATTTTTTCTTTGTCTTTTTTAATCTGTTACATAAACATGTAAAACTATCATCAACGCCTTGTTTCTTTGTCAATATGTGTATTTGTAACATTATTCAGTATATGAGATCCATTAAAGTGTCAATTTAAATGTCCAAGTCACTAATTGTAACATATTTTTATCCTGTTTCAGTGTGGTGCTTATAAAAAAAAAATAAACATCATTTTTGAAATGGTCAAAAACAGATATAAACCGTGATTGTAAAATGAACAAAATAAAATCAATAAAATTTTTGAGATAAAGTCAGTGGGCAAGTGGTGTACCTGTGGTCAGGGTGACAGCTGGTCAAGATAAATATCTCATTCTGGGGTTTCTATATTATTTTGGTCAATTTGATCAACTAAAATATTCAATATATTATAGGATGACATTAACATTTTGAAAACAAATATCATACCTTTTTTATTAATTACACAAGAACCACTGAGTAATAAATTATCAATATAAACAAGAAACAAAGTAGCATATTTTATGTTTATAGCATTTTAGCATAGTGATCATTGTAATTTTTAGAGAGCAATTTACATTGCCTGTGGTAAAAATTAGTTCCTTTAAAGAGCAAGTTGGTCACATGTTTTGAATTTTGAAAAAGATCTTACTGTATTTGATTTTTAAGTTTATTTGAATATCATAAAATAAGGACATTGTTGTCCGAGACTTGTCTCTCATGTTTGTTTGTTTGTTCTGATCAGATAGTTAAGTTAATTAGTGAACCAAAAGTTGCCTGAAGGTTCAGACATGATGGCTCCTATTTGTAGAGAAAATTAAAGCTAGTTTGTATTAATTAAGTAAGCCCCTCATTTCTCATTTTACCAGACTCCTGTTGTTGTTGTTGTTGTTGGGGCTTTTTTCCCAGTTGAAGCAATATTAAATTTTGATTCATGTTTTGTTTTTCTATCTTTTTTATTTGATACACATTCGGTGGATCTCTTTTGAAATGTAATTGATTAATAATGTAACTGTTAAAATATAATTGTTTGCAGGAAAAGAAATGGGCATAATTATGAATAATGTGATTTTGAAATGTATTTTTCTATACATTTATAGAAATGGCATTTTCACAGTTATGAATTTCTTCAGTTTATTTTGGATGTAAAATGGCTGTGGGTATATGATATGTAATCTGGCTGTTGCCCATTTCATATGGTCAAAACCTCTGAATAGTTCATAACTACTGGGCAAAATTTGGTCAGCGACAACAAGGTGAGAGCTCTAAAGTTCCCACCCAGTACTACAACATTATCAATTTATTGTGTTTTATCTCTTTTTCACTCTCAATATGTCCTAAGTATTGACATTATGTCATACCATATTTGCTTTCAGACAAATGCCATCCAAGTTCCTGTAACATATGTTGGGAAAAAAACATGTTTTTGTGTTTAACCAGTAGCAAAATGCAAACAGATACTTCACAAACATTCAACTATGTAAATAAACACCAGTTTGTTATCTTGATTTTTACATAAATCACACTTATATTTCATTGATAAAAAACATCATTATTCATTGAGCATGAAATTCAACACACATGTAAGAGCAAGCTTCTAAGAAGTTTGCCCTGAAAAATAATACTTGCTGTGAAATTGGCCATGACAATTCATTCTGTACATTCTTAGATCTGCTTCTTCATTACTTAAGTTTCTTAAGTGATTTAGACCCTTCTAACCTACACATACAGTGTATGTAACATAGATTTCTGAGAAAAAATTTCTAGAGTCTGCAGATCAGAACATTATCCCAAGGCAAATAAGATAACTATATATATTATTTATAAAAATGATGCAATATCTATATATTATTTTATTCTTTTTTGCTTTTCCTTGTTTCAGGACCAGATGTTATAAATGTAGTGGACCCCTGCGGCACCTAGACATCATGTCTCATACAAGTGTGTCTGGTTTTAAAGAAAGTGATGTGAGGTGTGGGGTGGGGGTGAATACATAGCCAGAAGAAATGTGTCTTAGTGGTAAATATATTAGTAATGAAGTTTTGTTTTAAAGTGCATTGTCAGCATCAATGTCTCCAAAAGTTAGAATCTTTTATGTCACTTGGTTTATTGTAGTGCTAGCTACAACCATTACAATGTAAAAGACTTGAATTCAGAAGTAATTGATTTTGGCAGAAGTATTGTCCTTTTTGAAAATTCCTGATAAAGGTTAAGCGTGCAAGTTCTGAAGATATTACACATACATAATTGTAGAACACTGACAATGACCCTAAACTCTAGATTACATTTTCATTGAGTTATTCCCCTTTGTGTAAATATTCCTGCATTGCCTTGTTTGAATCTTTATTAGGCACTGAGTGAGAATGGTTGAGTGTGCTGTTTATCTGACAGATCTTTATCATACACACAAACATAACTTGCCAGAATAATAATATCTGTCATATTTTGCGGTTCTGATCGGAATTAACGAGGCTTGCCGAGTTACCGCCCATGGGCGGGTGACCGAGGGACGGATATTCCGATCGGAACCGCAAACATATGTCAGATATTTTTTCTTGCATATTCTACCATATTCCATTATATTTTAAATTCTTTATCTTTAATTTCAATGGAAATTTATATCATTACAATCGTAACTACTTTCTTACAACAGTGTATGAATTACAACTTCATTCATAACGGTAAAATGACGTCATCCTAAGCGTGCCTTTGTATAGCACGCGACACATCTGGCACCCCCCATGCCAGATGAAATTTCCGGCATGGGTAAAACTCACGAAAACGCCAGTCTGATATGCAAGAATATCTGACCCTGAATTGAACTCAGACGAGTTTGGAGGTTAGTTGTAGCCCTACTACTGTAATGCCTAAAATTCAAAATGGAACAAGTCTGTGTTACTTAAATCTAGCAGTGCAAACAAAGGTGAAATAAATTGCTTTACTGTACTATTTTCGGCGGGGGATATAGAAATAGGCTCCTTCTGTCCGTCCTTCCGTCCGACAATTTTGTCCAGAGCATATCTCAAAAAGAATTTAAGATATCAACTTGAAACTTCATAGGTGTAGAGAACTCATTGAGGAGGAGGGCAGTGCAAAAGAATGATAACTCTACCCTTCATAATTTTTGAGTTATTGCCCTTTGTTATTTTTCAAAATTAATTTTGTCCAGAGCATAACTCAAAATGCCTTTGAGATATCAACATGAAACTTCATAGGTGCATAGATCTCACTCAGGAGGTGTGCAGTGCACAAGAATGATAACTCTACCTTTCATAATTTTTGAGTTATTGCCCTTTGTTATTTTTCATACTTAATTTTTCATTTGAGTGGAGCATAACTCAAAAAGTGTTTGAGATGTCAACATGAAATGTCATAGGTGGATAGATCTTATTGAGGAGGAATGTTGTGCGCAAGAATGATAACTCTTCGCTATATAATTTTTGAGTTATTGCCCTTTGTTATTTTTCATACTATGTTGTCCGGAGCTTATCTCCAAAAATATTTGAGGTATCAACTTGAAACTTCATAGGTGGATGAATCTCATTGAGGAGGAGTGCAGTGCACAAGAATGATAACTCTACCTTTCATAATTTTTGAGTTATTGCCCTTTGTTATTTATCATACTTAATTTTTCACCTGAGTTGAGCATAACTCGAAAGTGTTTGAGATGTCAACATGAAATGTCATAGGTGGATATATCTTATTGAGCAGGAATGCTGTGCACAAGAATGAAAACTTTTCCCTATACAATTTTTGAGTTATTGCCCTTTGTTTTGTTTTTTATACCCCCCCACAACAAAGTTGTAAGGGGGGTATACTGGAATCAGCTTGTCCGTCCGGCCGTCCGGCTGTCTGGCCGTCCGGCCGTCTGTCGGTTTTTTCTTGTCCGCCCAATAACTTAAGATATCTTTGACTCTTAGTCTTCATATTTGGCGTGGAGGTTAGTCATGATTAGTAGATGACTCCTATTGATTTTGAGGTCACTAGGTCAAAGGTCAAGGTCACAGGGGCCTTGACTTCAAAAAGCTTGTCCGCCCAATAACTTAAGATTCCTTTGACCTACAGTCTTCATATTTGGCATGGAGGTTAGTCATGATTAGTAGATGACCCCTATTGATTTTGAGGTCACCAGGTTAAAGGTCAAGGTCACAGGGGCCTTGACTTCAAAAAGCTTGTCCGCCCAATAACTTAAGATTCCTTTGACCTACAGTCGTCATATTTGGCATGGAGGTTAGTCATGATTAGTAGATGACCCCTATTGACTTTGAGGTTACCAGGTCAAAGGTCAAGGTCACAGGGGCCTTGACTTCAAAAAGCTTGTCCGCCCAATAACTTAAGATTCCTATGACCCATAGTCTTCATATTTGGCATGGAGGTTAGTCATGATTATTAGATGACCCCTATTGACTTTGAGGTCACCAGGTCAAAGGTCACAGGGGCCTTGACTTCAAAAAGCTTGTCCGCCAAATAACTTAAGATTCCTTTGACCCACAGTCTTCATATTTGGCATGGAGGTTAGTCATGATTAGTAGATGACCCCTATTGATTTTGAGGTCACCAGGTCAAAGGTCAAGGTCACAGGGGCCTTGACTTCAAAAAGCTTGTCCGCCCAATAACTTAAGATTCCTTTGACCCATAGTCTTCATATTTGGCATGGAGGTTAGTCATGATTAGTAGATGACCCCTATTGATTTTGAGGTCACCAGGTCAAAGGTCAAGGTCACAGGGGCCTTGACTTCAAAAAGCTTGTCCGCCCAATAACTTAAGATTCCTTTGACCCACAGTCTTCATATTTGGCATGGAGGTTAGTCATGATTAGTAGATGACCCCTATTGATTTTGAGGTCACCAGGTCAAAGGTCAAGGTCACAGGGACTTTGACTTCGAAAAGTTTGTCTGCCCAATAACTTAAGATTCCTTTGACCCACAGTCTTCATATTTGGCATGGATGTTGATCATGATAAGTAGATGACCCCTTGTGATTTTGAGGTCACTGGATCAAAGGTCAAGGTCATAGGGACTTTGACTTCAAAAAGTTTGTCCACCCATTTACTTAAGATTCCTTTGACCCACAGTCTTCATATTTGGCATGGATGTTGATCATGACTATAAGGTGACCCCTATTTACTTTAAGGTCACTGGGTCAAAGGTCAAGGTCACAGGGACCTTGACAATAAAAAGCTTTTCTTCTCAATTGCTAAAGAATGTCCTGTCAGCAATGTATTGATTTTGACATTTTCACATTTGAAGCTTGTAGAATACATAACTTAGCAATGCACTGGCTTAGTAACCTCAGATTTGGCAGGGAGGTTGTCCTTGAGCTCTAAATGGCCACTGTTGATTCTGACAAAGTGGTATGCGGGGGTATTCACGCCAAGGTAGTGGCAGTTCTAGTTTCATACTATTTTGTCCGGAGCTTATCTCAAAAATTATTTGAGATATCAACTTGAAACTTCATACGTGGATAGACCTCATTGAGGAGGAGTGCAGTGCTCAAGAATGATAATTCTTCCCTTCATAATTTTTGAGTTATTGCCCTTTGTTATTTTTCAAAATTAATTTTGTCCAGAGCATAACTCAAAATGCCTTTGAGATATCAACATGAAACTTCATAGGTGCATAGATCTCTCTCAGGAGGTGTGCGGTGCACAAGAATGATAACTCTACCTTTCATAATTTTTGAGTTATTGCCCTTTGTTATTTTTCAAAATTAATTTTGTCCAGAGCATAACTCAAAAGGCCTTTGAGATATTAACATGAAACTTCATAGGTACATAGATCTCACTTAGGAGGTGTGCAGTGCACAAGAATGATAACTCTACCTTTCATAATTTTTGAGTTATTGCCCTTTGTTATTTTTCATACTTAATTTTTCACCTGAGTGGAGCATAACTCAAAAGTGTTTGAGATGTCAACATGAAATGTCATAGGTGGATAGATCTTATTGAGGAGGAATGCTGTGCGCAAGAATGATAACTCTTCGCTATATAATTTTTGAGTTATTGCCCTTTGTTCTTTTTCATACTATTTTGTCCGGAGCTTATCTCAAAAAGTATTTGAGGTATCAACTTGAAACTTCATAGGTGGATGAAACTCATTGAGGAGGAGTGCAGTGCACAAGAATGATAACTCTACCCTGCATAATTTTTGAGTTATTGCCCTTTGTTATTTTTGAAAATTAATTTGTCCAGAGCATAACTCAAAAGGCCTTTAGATATCAACATGAAACTTCATAGGTGTATAGATCGCACTCAGGAGGTGTGCAGTGCACAAGAATGATAACTCTACCTTTCATAATTTTTGAATTATTGCCCTTTGTTATTTTTCATACTTAATTTTTCACCTGAGTTGAGCATAACTCAAAAGTGTTTGAGATGTCAACATGAAATGTCATAGGTGGATAGATCTTATTAAGGAGGAATGCTGTGCACAAGAATAAAAACTCTTCCCTATACATTTTTTGAGTTATTGCCCTTTGGTTTTTTTTTCATACTATTTTGTCCGCAGCTTATCTCAAAAAATATTTGAGATATCAACTTGAAACTTCATAGGTGGATGGATCTCATTGAGGGGGAGTGCAGTGCACAAGAATGATAACTCTACCCTTCATAATTTTTGAGTTATTGCCCTTTGTTGTTTTTCAAAATTAATTTTGTCCAGAGCATAACTCAAAAGACCTTTGAGATATTAACATGAAACTTCATAGGTGCATAGATCTCACTCAGGAGGTGTGCAGTGCACAAGAATGATAACTCTACCTTTCATAATTTTTGAGTTATTGCCCTTTGTTATTTTTCATGCTTAATTTTTCACCTGAGTGGAGCATAACTCAAAAAGTGTTTGAGATATCAACATGAAATGTCATAGGTGGATAGATCTTAATGAAGAATAATGCTGTGCACAAGAATGATAACTCTTCACTATATAATTTTTGAGTTATTGCCCTTTGTTGTTTTTCATACTTTGTCCGGAGCTTATCTCAAAAAATATTTGAGGTATCAACTTGAAACTTCATAGGTGGATGAAACTCATTGAGGAGGAGTGCAGTGCACAAGAATGATAACTCTACCCTGCATAATTTTTGAGTTATTGCCCTTTGTTATTTTTGAAAATTAATTTGTCCAGAGCATAACTCAAAAGGCCTTTTAGATATCAACATGAAACTTCATAGGTGTATAGATCGCACTCAGGAGGTGTGCAGTGCACAAGAATGATAACTCTACCTTTCATAATTTTTGAATTATTGCCCTTTGTTATTTTTCATACTTAATTTTTCACCTGAGTTGAGCATAACTCAAAAGTGTTTGAGATGTCAACATGAAATGTCATAGGTGGATAGATCTTATTAAGAAGGAATGCTGTGCACAAGAATAAAAACTCTTCCCTATACAATTTTTGAGTTATTGCCCTTTGGGTTTTTTTTCATACTATTTTGTCCGCAGCTTATCTCAAAAAATATTTGAGATATCAACTTGAAACTTCATAGGTGGATGGATCTCATTGAGGGGGAGTGCAGTGCACAAGAATGATAACTCTACCCTTCATAATTTTTGAGTTATTGCCCTTTGTTATTTTTCAAAATTGTTTTTTGTCCAGAGCATAACTCAAAAGGCCTTTGAGATATCAACATGAAACTTCATAGGTGCATAGATCTCACTCAGGAGGTGTGCAGTGCACAAGAATGATAACTCTACCTTTCATAATTTTTGAGTTATTGCCCTTTGTTATTTTTCATACTTAATTTTTCACCTGAGTGGAGCATAACTCAAAAGTGTTTGAGATGTCAACATGAAATGTCATAGGTGGATAGATCTTATTGAGGAGGAATGCTGTGCACAAGAATGATAACTCTTCCCTATATAATTTTTGAGTTATTGCCCTTTGTTCTTTTTCATACTATTTTGTCCGGAGCTTATCTCAAAAAGTATTTGAGGTATCAACTTGAAACTTCATAGGTGGATAGATTTTACTGAGGAGGGGTGCAGCACACAAGAATGATAACCTACCCTGCATTATTTTTCAGTTATTGCCCTTTGTTATTTTCAGCCATCAGTATTCATATAGGTTTCAAATCTGTAATCACTTCAGCCATTAGTTTTCCTTACCAAAGACCTCTTAAAATTGAATTATTCTGCTCTACTACATATACATTCTTCCAATGAGCATACCCATTCGGCAGGGGATGGCCATGTTGACATGGCTCTTGTTAGTTTTATGTCACACCAACACAGTATAGGTCATATAGTGCCTTTCTAGCTTTAATGGTAGATGAAGACCTCAGGTTCGTTCTTTGCTTTATTTCAGGCACTGGTATTCCATAAGCTAGCAAGAGAGTTTCCTCACATGAAAGAATTCAAAGTCCCTGTCAGGATTTGAACCCACAGCAAAAAGGGGCAAGTGGTTTGAAGTCTACGACTTATCACTCAGCCACAAATGTATATATAAGGAGTTTAAAGTTTTTGTAAGACTATAACAGTGTCAGAATGATTTATATATTTGCGGAATAGAAAAATAATTTTAAAAAACTTTACCAGACATGGTAATGGGATAAACCTCAGTGTAAATAATTATGAAAGATGTATCATTCAGTGTATACATTTCATAACATCTCTTACGGTTGATATTACGTTAAAAAAATAACTGGGTTAGCAGGTATAACAGGGTATTTTGATATACCCATTTAGTATAAATGCTTGATTTTTTAGATGACAAAAATACTTTATTTTTCAGTTTCTGTATTCCTAATAGGATCATCTGCTGCAGGTGTGACAATGTGGACTTTGTTCAAGCTAGTGTAAGTTTAATTTATACATTGACCTCACACCCAGAAATTTAATATTTAGAAAATGGACACCTGATAAACAATTAAATAGAATTAATATGTAACAGCACAGTGTTGTAATGTGTTTGAATATTAAATATTGGTGCGCTTGAATATGAAATAACTATTTTTGACCAGTTAATGATGGAGATAGACACAGAAGCGCCATGACACCTTGTGAAGTTACATGGCAAGTGTTGACCGATTGATTACTTCATGATAAGTTATTATATTTAAAGTTTAAATAATGTGTTTGCATTTTGAATATGAATATTTTAATTTTGGTAATAGGGTTATAGCAATAGAAATTGAACTTTGATTGCCTAATTATGCAGACGGTTATCCTAAGTCAAAGTAACTGTGACTTTTTCATTCTATTTAATTATTACAATGTACAAAGAAGTGACTTTAATCAGGTCTGATGCCCTATGTCCCATCTAGTTAGTACAGTAGTTGGGGCACTACATGTATACAATAGCCTACTGGTTATTTAGGACGGAATCACGGGTGTCCTTAAGATTCAGAATGAAGACTGTATGTCTGATGCCATCCACCCATCAAGTTGTTCAGATAAGTTAGCATTTGTTACAAATGACAGTTTTGGACAACTGTAACTTGTGGATATCTCAGAAAAATTAGTCATCCATCTGTTTACTTGTCCCCCTTGTTCTACTAGTATCACTTAGTTTATACAAATTTATTTTAGTTTTTGATTGTGTTGGAAGCTATAAGCTTATTGAAACACTCTCGAATCCGTTCCTGGAACCAACCAGTACTAAGCAATGAATGTAAATTTCTTGCTCAAGGAAACAATGGCTTGCCCCTGACAGGGTTTGTACCCATGTGGTCAGCAATCCTTAGATTACTAGTCTGACGCGTTAACCACTCGGCCATGCCGCCACTTGGTGGCATATAAGGCTGAGCAGTTTGAGTCACTGACTGAATCATTTTACCCTTACTGCTTTTGGTTTGAATCCCACCAGGGACTATGGATTTTTTTATTGTGTGGGAGCTATCCAGTTAGCTATTAGAAGTTTGGTGGTTTTACTCAGCTGTGAAATTTTGCATGCAATAATGAGGAGGGGCAGCTTAGGTCTTCCTACACCATGAAAGCTGTATGTACACATTATGACCTTTACATCTTAACTTACAACACAACTTCAAAAAGATGTATCGCTCTGTAAAAGGATACTGAAATGGCTAATGTGTTTTCAAGGCAAATAGTAATGGTGATATTTTGATAGTAGATATTGCACCTGAATTCAAATACACTACTTACTGCTTCATACTAATAGTAAATGTGAAAAACAAGTTTACTATCTCCCAGCTAAATTTATATATTGTACATTCCTTGCTTTGATGGCAACTGATCCTACTCATGCAATCAGTGCAGAATAAGATCAGCTTGTGCAAGACTGTACCATCTGATCATGATTTGCACTGTTGGCTATTCAGTCAGTACATGTTTTGAAATCTAACCCTGAAAATAATGAAAATATCTGTTTAGATTGGAAGATGGACTTGTGAATATGGAAGTTGCACTTGTGAATATGGACAAGTCCATTTCAAATACAAATGTATAAACTAAGGTAAGGCTTTAATATCAAGTCAAAAAAAAATAGTAGCTAAGGATGTACAAGCTGGCCAGACTTCATTCTTGTAGACAAGTAATTATCACTAATTATCACTTAATGATTATCAGCACCTAACTGTTCACAAGAAAAAGGGATGCCTCAGCTTTCTAATACTGTAGTGTATGAATGCAAAACAAAATTAGTTTTGATTTATTATAAATTTCAGGTCCATTGGTTTGTAAGTTTCAAAGCTGAAGGTGTCAGGTACATGTTTTAAGATGATGATTTGGTTGGTTATGTCCTTGTTGTCCATGGCAATTGGTACCCTAACAATGTCACATGAGGTTTATAGTCATGATGGTATCAACTGTGGAGGACAGGTTAGTACTCTCCTAACATAATGTTTTAGTGCTGGCCAGGTTTCTTGCCAACCACCAATGTAGAAATGAAACTGCTGTCACAAACTTACACTTAAACTGAAACAGACAACAAGAACATTTTTCTTTCTTAAACCTAACTTTAACAGATATACTATTGAAACTTGCAAGTAATATTTATGATTGATGTATGTAAGGATATTTCACTACCATCAGTGTGATTGTATCATTTAATTTGATAAACCATGTGTAAAAAATAGTGAACCCAATCTAAACTCATGGTCATTTACACGTTTTGTTGAAGTTGTTGATAATTTGATAAATTGACAGTCGTCACATGCCAGAGAGCTCCATTTAAGTGAAAACTATAAAAACTAAGTCACTGTCTGCCGTAATCTTGATCGTGTGTTTTCCGTTCTTGCCTCGCAAATAATTGTACATAATTGTAAATGAAATATAACAAATTAATGGATCAATATAGATGGCTGATTATCATGATGATAATTTGTTACTTTTATTGAATGTACGCCACAATGTATGCCGCAATTGTGGCGTTATTGGACAAGAATGGATGTTTGGACATGCGAATGTTCATGTAAAAGTTTGATAGGCATCAGGTAATCTGGCAGGTAAAAACTGTCATAAAATTTTATTAGTTGGGTACTGAAATGTGGTTTCATTGGTTACTTCAAGTTGTGTGACTTAGTTAATAACATTTTATTTACATTTTCCTGTTAAAGGATATTGAGGGTTCAAATCTGATTGATTTAATGCTTGATAAGAATTTTCCAGAACTTGTTTCATCAAGTCAGATTTTTAGCTTGCGTATTCAAAGAATAGGTTTTTGTGTACAAGTTGGTATCTCTAAAACTACTGAAGGGAATGGGTTGAAACTTCACATGCTTATTCTCTGTGAATATCTAACATAACTAGTACAGATATATAACTGTGAGTTACCTATTTACAGAGTTATGACCCTTTTCTTACTGTCAAGCTTTGGGAAAAGTTGAGTGCGCTGTCATACAAACAGCTGTTGTTGTGTTAAAAGATTCTATTTATTACATTCAAACCCACGCCTCTTTTATATACTAGACACAATTTTTTTTTTAATTTCGAACGTTTTTGATGAGAAATATAGCAAGTAAATTCCCTTTACTCATAATTCTTGGTTCATGTAACTTATAATTCAGTCTTTACGCTGGTCAGTCCCAGTCAGTGTTTAATGAACACTCCAGAAATTATGAAGAAAGTTCTGATAAATTAATTATAGATTTTCAACCCTTAGTGTGTTCCATGCTGTATTTATAAATAAATATCACCTTGATAATGAAACACCTTAAAATGAAAATTATAAGACAGTTCCAAAGTTAAGGCAGGAAAAATGCAATGAATAAATTTGGGAGGGTTAGTGTTAAAATGACAGGAAAAGAAAGGATTAATGCATTTGTCACTGCTTTAACAATATGTCACTATTTGTAATTGGTTTGTCAAACTGTAATATAAAATTAGATTTTTGATTGTATTTAATTTTGTATTGAAATTGCTCATTTACTT